GGGAAAAAATGGAGAAGACATACATTGTGGGACACAGGTATGGTTTGTTGTCTATTGATGATGTGTATAGTATTCTCAACTCACCTGGCATGTGGTGTATATCATGTTGGGTAAAATCTCTTTACAATCTAAATGGTGTATAGTGATTGAATGCATAAATAATATAAATAATAAATGAAAAAGTCATATTGGATCTAAATGAAAATAAGAATGTATAGTTTATAAATATTCTAAATAATAATGCATATGCACATATCTATATGATTTATAATTATTTTAAATAATAAACAAAAACAAATTTTAGTTGCATAATGGAGAAAAAAGACTTTTACACAAGCACGATTTTATATTACCTCCAGAAATAATAAAAATGTCTCAGTATGAAGTGGCTGATAAATATACTGATTTTTCCAGTTATTTCTTTTCTTTTCTTTTTTTGGAGAGGTTTTTGCTATAGGACGTGCATACTTACCAGAAAGACATAGAAAGACAGAGAGACAGAAAGCGACAAATCAGCCCCCATGGGGGATGGCCACAGTGCTCCTCCATTCTCCTCTCAGGATCTTGGGCACACACACACACACACACACGCCCAGAGTGAGTTTAAGCCACCAGGTCTGGGACTCGAACCGCGGTCAACTACATGGGAGTCCAGCGACATAGCCATTACACCAACTGCTGGTCCCACTGCTGGATACTTTCTATCTTTCTATGTTAGCACCTGGATTATCTTATGCTGCAAAAATCTTTTTTTATTTTATTTTTGCCTTAGTCTTTTGTTGGGCTTTTAACATTCAACTGATATCCTAGAACACATTAAAATTTTCATTATATTTAAGGCTTTGAAATTCTAGTGTTTTGTACTCAATATAAAGTTTTATTATAGAGACAATGAATGATTTATGAGATTTAAACTCTTTAAAAAGTCTTTTCAAAATTATTTATTTAATTTTATATATTATTAATATTTAATTTGCTATAAGGCATGTACACTCACCAAAAAGAGAAGGAAAATGAGAAAGCCAAGCCGCCAAATCTGGGACTACAACTGCAGTTGGCCGTGTGGGAGTCCAGCGTCTTAACCAC